GACGCCTCGGGCTCCGTCCGTGTGTCCGTGCCCTCTGGCAGCCTGCAGAGCCCGGGGACAGCCCCGACTCTCACCCCCGACACCGCGGGATCCCGGCGCGCTCCGGTCCTGTCCCGGCACCAGCCGGTGCTCTCTGGGGACAGGGCAGTGTCACCCGTGCCAGCCCAGGCTGCGACCCTCCGGCTGCCAAAGGGGCTCCGTGCGAGGGAGGATCCGTCGCAGGCCTCCCCCGATGGGTTCCCACCCGTCCTGCTTGGCACGGAGCCCCTCAGCCCTGGCTGCTCCCACCTGGCCCCTTGGTGGCCACATCCATGCCCGGGGTGGCCGCGGTGGCCGGGGGCGCTGAGCGGGCCGGGCCCCGGGATCACTGTGCTCCCGCAGGTGTTTCTGTGCAAAGTTTGCCTTGGGTGCAAACAAGAGCGGGCACATGTCCCTGAGGAGCCTTTGCAAAGAGCTCGTGTTTGCTCTGAGAGAGGCCTTTGTACTTGGAGAGGGAGCGGGTAGGGGAGCCAGGAGCCAGCGACTGCAGCCGTGCTGGGGGGCTGAACCCCCAGTTGTGGTGTCCCAGAGGGACAGGCTCCCTCTCGGGCTGTTCCCGCATCCCTGGGGCCGCTCAGCCCTGCAGCTCGCCGGGGCCCTGGGCTGGGCTTTGCTTCCCACTCATCTCCCAGCTGTGGGAGAAACACCCCAGGGCTCCCTCCCTGCCCATCCCACCTGCCGGGGCTCACCCGGTCCTCACCAGGGAACAGCCGGTCCCACCCATGGGCTGGGGACCTGGGGAAAGCCACCAGCCCTGGGGACCCGGCAAAGGCACCCCAAAAGGTGTGGGGAGTGCAGAGCCTGGTGTGCAGGGAGATGCTGACCAGGACGTGATTTCTGCAGGGAGCCAGGTTTATAATCCTTCTGTATAAATTCTTGGCATATTTCTCTGAGGATGTGGAGTGTATTTACCTGGTTTGGAGGCTGACAAAATGGGCGAGCTGGTCTGGGAATCCCTGGGAAGAGGAACAGGCTTTGCCCCTGCTCTGTGTGTGAGGCTGAATGGGGAAATGGCTCTTTCTTGGGCAGCACTGGCAGCCAGGCTTTGTGGGGCTAATTTTGTGCAAGAAAAACACCTTTCCATTACTTTGGTGGAGAAGGATCCTGGAGCCAGGGCTATAAACTGGTTTTCCAATATTAGAAAGCACTCCTGTGCTGGGTCGGTGATTTGGTTTTGTTTGTAAGTAAAGTCCTGTTGAAGACTGGACAATTAATGTTTGTTTTATTTCATTTTGGTGACAGAATCAAAGAAAAAGGGCTGGTGTTGACTCAAAAGGTTTTCCTCTCTGGCTTTTTAGGTTACCAAAAAAGAAAGGGGAAAAAAAAATAGAGGCCAAACAAACACTCAAACGTTTCATTTTGGGTCAAGTCCAAACATTTTGTTTAACATGAAACAAAATGTTTGGGTTTGGTTTCAGGTTGTTTAACCCTTTTGAATACGGTCAAGTTGATTTGTAAAGGAAAAATCACGGCTCAGAAATTAAAAGCTGAATAATTGTTTTGAAAGTGTAAGTGTGAAACACGATGGAAATGTCAAGGTGAAGCCTTTTTAAAGAGAATTAAATGGAGGGAAATTCTGGGACTTTTTTTTTTTTTTGCTGATTCTCAGATATTCTTCAGCCGAAACATTGCCAAATTTTATTTGAATTCCCAAATCTCATCTGTAGCCCCCGAGTCACTCATCTGACACTTCCCAAGCGTGCTGTGATTGACTGGCTCACGGTTTCACTCGGAGAAAGCGCTGCCCTGGGCTCGCTTGTGAACCAAACCGCTCTTAGAAATGATAATGAGCTCTGTTTCATTAACCTGGTATTAATCAGTAATTAGTGGGATCAGTTGGGTGACACGAAGCGCTTGTGACAAAGTTCTTCCCGAGCCCCTCAGCTCGGGCGCGCGGCTTTGCCCGGCGCCGCTGGAAGGACGTTTTCCTCCTCATCCTTCTCCTCTCTTCCCACCTTCTCCTGGGAGCCCTCCCGCGGGAAGGACCCCCATACTCAGCGGGGTTCCCCTGCCTGGAGGATGCAGGGCTGGGCACAAGCTCAGCCACTCCAGGAAAGCTCCGTGGCTCCTGCCCGGGGTGTGACAAAGCCCTGCTTGGCTCTGCTCCGGTACTTCTGCCGTGGATCCAACCAGCTTTGTTTTCAAGCTGCATTCAGGAAAACAAGTAAGAAATCTACTTGTTGGGCTTTTTTTTTTTCTTTTTTTCCTCCACTTGACAAGTTGAAGGATCCAAACTAAGTAATGGATTGGGAAAGCAGCCGGACGGTTGTTGCAAGCGCGGTGTTGGGGTATCGCATTATTTGAGTGCAGGACTGTGACCAGGTCTGGTCACACCGATTTTTCAGTGCTGAAAGTGCTCCCTTTTAGCCCAGAATAAACCCTGGGGTCTTGGATACAGCACAGGTGTTTTGGCCTGTTCCTCTGCTGTCACACTGGGCATTCGATGGAGCTAAAGACCACGGACAGCATTTGGATTTTCAGCTGTAATTTTATGTGTTCTAAAATAACAAAGCAGACCCTAAATCAGCATCAGTTATCCCAAGGACAGTAAAGCAGTGTGATTTAGAGAAGTCATTTACACCTGGATCCTACAGGAGCCAAATTCAAGTGTTTAATAATAATCAGGAATGACTCAAAATTTTTGGGGGGTTTGGTTTCGGTTTTGCCTTCGGGGACTCGTCGGGGTTTGTGTGTCTGGTTTGACCTTGGTTTCTCAGCCTTTTGTATGTGGTTGGTACGTGCACAGCTGTGGGAGAGAGGGAACAGGGTCCCTTTTGAGGGGATACTGAGATTTTTAGATCGTTGGGAATGGAAGAAGCTACACAGCAAGCGTGGCGGGTGGGCTTGGGTGGCTGTGCAGGGGTCCCTGCCAGCCCGTGGCGATCCCGGGGACACAGGGCACAGTGCAGGTGCTGCACCCATGAGCAGGGGCAGGAAAAGCATCCCCAGCACTTCTCTTTCTTCATTAAGAGACCAGGATGGGCTTCCCATGCCCATCCACGTGCATACGTCCCACGGGAGAAATCGCGCTGCACGTAACGGCAGCAGCCCGTGGGTGGGCTGTGCTTCTCCCTGGAGGATCTGGAGGAGCTTTGCTGGCAGCAGTGAGACCTTGGTGTGTCCCAGCAGGACACTGCATCCTCTCTGCTTCTCCCTCCCTGGGGGAACAGTCTGGCTGGCAACCCCTGGCGTGGATGTGAGCGCCCATCCCGCCAGCCCTGGGGTGGGACAGGGCTGTTGTGGGGGCCTTTGGGAACCCTCTGAGGATCTTTTGTTCTTCTGAAATAATAATAATAATAATAATAATAATAATAATAATAACAATAACAATAACAATAACAATAACAATAACAATAACAATAACAATAGCAGCAGCAATAATAGCAATAATAGAAATAATAGCAATAATAGCAATAATAACAATAGTAATGAAAAGTTTCCATTATGGGAAGAAGCAAATACTGGGGGCTTTTCCCTGGCAGCAGATATTAACCCTTGGTTTCCCTGCCCACAGTGAGGACCCGTGGCGGGCAGCGAAGATGATCAAGGGGTACATGCAGCAGCACAACATCCCGCAGCGAGAGGTGGTGGATGTCACCGGCCTCAACCAGTCCCACCTCTCCCAGCACCTCAACAAGGGCACCCCCATGAAGACCCAGAAGAGAGCTGCCCTGTACACGTGGTACGTCCGCAAGCAGCGGGAGATCCTCCGGCGTAAGTACCTGTGGGAATGGTGGGGGGAGAGGGGGTCCCTGTGTCCCTGTCCTGCCCCTGGGTACCAGCACAGCCCCCAGACTCCAGCTGTGCAGCATCTCCCCAAAACCCTTTTCCAAGTAAAATTAATTTAAGGTGCAGGAAGAGTGGGTGAGAGCCCCTCTTGGTGGCAGGGTTCCCCCTGCTCAGCTGGATTCCTGGGTATTTGTATTTGTTAGAGCTGGGAAAGCAATTAATGATGGCTCTCAATTAGGTGCCTTTCACACCTTTGCCCCTTCTCCTTGTTATTCTCCAGGCTGCTCATAAGTGCAAAAAATGTAGGGAGAGAAAATGAAAACCCCCTGAATTGCTGCTGTCTGTAGCAGGGTTTGGGGCAGTCCGTGCTGTTTAAAATGCAGATTATTTTGACCAAGCACATGGACTATTCCTGTGAGCCCCTCTCCCGTTGTTGCCTGCCCTGGGATCTGTCCCGTAGCTCTCAGAGCAGCCCCGAGTGGCACTGGCAGCCCCCAGGAAAGGGCTCTGCCTCGCTCCTCCAAAGGGATGCAATATCCAGCAGCCGGGAAGTGCAGAGAAGAGTTTAGCACCAAATACCATCGCTCTGAAAACACACCTTGAGACGTTAGAGCAAACAGAGCCTGCTCCAGCCTTGCCCTGGGCTTCCCCCCCCATCACGGGGGGAAAAGCCATTATAAAAAGAGGGAGAATTCCCCTGCAAAACTGGGAATAATAAAACCCTCCCATTAATCTCCCTTTACTGCCCTGGTGACAAGCGCCGGGGCTGAGGCGGCCGCCGAAGGTCACCTCTGGTGCTGCCCGCCCCGGGCACGGGGCCGTGTCCCACCAGGCTGGGAGGGGAGCGGGAGGGGAGCTGTGGGTGAGCAGAGAGGGGCACCCTCTCGGGGGGCTTCGCAGCCATCCTGCCCGGCTCCTTGCTTGGAAAAATCCTCCCAAAACAAGTGCAGGCTGGCAGGGGCCCTGCCCATGAATATGCATGGCCATAGGCATGCCCTGCACATGCCTCCCCATTAAACAGGGGTGGCAGCGGGCTGGGGTGGGTGGCAGGGAGCACCTGGCTTGCTCCAAAGCCCGCCGTGGGCTCGGGGTGCCGCGGGAGGGGACACGGGGGGG